CCCTGCCACCCTCCTGGACTGTGGTCAGGAGGAAAGCACTTACACATGCACTGTAGGAACTGGATAGCTGGTGTTTGCCGTCACTGGGCCTGGCTAACCGCTGTCTGTACCATGTTTTGGGTCTGGTCCTGGTGCTGCTGCTGCTTTGGCCTTAGGTGTCTGCTTCCCTTCTGCCTGGGGACCCCGGGTCAAATCCCAGCTCCCTGGTGCACCAGACTGCCTGGTGGCAAGGATGTGACCTATTCCCAATCACGTCCAAGCCTGGCCCTGGTTCATATTAATAGTAGTAGCACTTGTTATTTCTTTTCATTAGAAAGACAGGGCAGTGGTTTGTTTTAATTTCAGTTTTATCTTTTCTGGTTTTCCATGTAACAAATCATAACATTTATAAGGTAACATGGGTTTTGCTAGAAAGGTGCTCATTGTTTTGCTTGCATGAGTGGGATGATACAAAGAACTGCTACAGACTCAGCCACCAATTGTTAGTACAGGCACACACACACACACACACTCACACTCATGCACACAATTTTTTTGGACCCATTTGAGAATAGCTCACAGACATGTCCTTTTATTCCTAAATATTTAGGGTATATTTCATAAGCACAAGGATATTCTTTTATGAAACAACTATGTAATTGTCAAATGCAGGAAATACAGCTACAATTATATTATCAAATCCACAGGCCACACGCAATTTCATCACTTGTCCCAGTCATGTCCAGTTTGACTATTCTATCCTGATTTTATATCATCAGTCATTTAGTGGCTGTATTTCTTTAGCTCGATTTTAACTTACAGCAGTTCTCGAGCCGTTCTTTTTTTCCTTTTGTTGATACATGTTTATGATACATAATGAATACATTACTGGGGGAGTTGGCACCTATACAGCCCACACCTTAGTCCTCTTTACTTCCGCTTCCCCTCCCGCCTTCCTTCTCTTCCTATCCCTAGGTCGCCTTCCCATATGCAAAAGGTCTACCTCCCCGTTTCCTATTGGCTTTCATTTTGTTCTTTAAATTATTTATACTCTAGGTTTTTCATATAAGAGAAACCATGTGATAGTTAACCTTCTGTGTCACCTGCATTTTGTTTGCATTATGGTGTCAAGTTGCATCTGTGTTCCTACAAATGACTCAGATTTATCCTTCCGATGGTTCTCAACTGTTCTTGTCCTTGACGTGGTCAAAAGGCCCACGCAGCCTGTTTGGTAGATCATTCCTCCGTGTGGGTTGAGATCTTTTCTGTTGAAAGCTGTGCTGTTCCACTTGTTGACTGCATTCCTTGTGCTCCTCAGTGGTCTCTGGCTGATGCTCACATCCACATCTTGTAGATGAAACCCAGGTGCAAAAGGTGAATCAGCTTGTCCGTGGTCAGGTACTCAGCGCTGTTTGGAAATCCAGTCTTTTGCCAGAGAGTAAGAAGAGATGCAGTAGTTAGACACTGAGAATACCAAAGTGCTTGTGAGGCACCTGTTCTAGCCAGATGTTAGACTCAGCCTTCTACCTACACAGCATTTTGACCCAGATCCACGAAGGCAGCTGGTCTTCTATCCCTGATTTACAGGTGACCTCAGAGTGGTTCAGTCAGCTGCCCACTGTGACACAGCTCCTAGCTAGCAGGAGCAGCTCTGGCCCCCAGCCTGTGTCCTGAGCCGGTACCTGTGGCTTTCGTGTTTGGGCCTGCTGTGTTATATAAACTTCAGCGAGCATGGGAGCAAGGCTGGGCTGACCCCATGGGAAAGGCTCAGCAGTGTCTGTGTTTGTGTCCTTCCTGGGGCCATTTCCAGGGAAGCAAACATCCCAAGGCCAGGCCTGTGCTCGAGCTTCCTGGGGAAAGTGTTCCCATGTTCTGTAGTCTACAGCTGCCACGGGTGCCACGGTCCAGCACCATGTCTATCTGCAGAGGACAGTGGTGTCAGAAATCTGTGCTGTTGCTTACTTCATAGCTGCTCACTGTTCCCACCGAGTGGCCAAGGTCCCCTGCCTGTGAGGTGCTGGTCCTTGCTGCCATCTGCCCACCCGTTGGCCCCATGGCCTGTGGCCTGTGTGGTGTCCGGGTGGCATTTGAGGCTGGCTGGGTTGATGCCTCATCATGAGGCTGCCTTGCTGGCGCTGCTTTGGTGCCATGTGTCGTACCCGGCCTCCCCACCTTACTAGCACACACCTGCCTCACTGCTGGGACCTGGCTCAGGTTGCCCAGCCAGAGTGCCACCACTTCTGATTGGAGAAAGGCAGATGACCAGGCCCTGCCTTCTGGCATGGGGAGAGAAATAGGGAACCTGGGGCATACTTGGAACTCTTCTGGTAGAACCCAGAGCCTCTCCTCCTATCTCCTGGTGTTCTTGGGGACCTGGACCTGTCTGTCATGGGCAGTCAGGTTCTTCAGGCATGGGCCAGTGTTGGGTCCCGGCAGTGATCTTTTGTAACCCTGGAGTCAGCATCCTTGGAGGGCCTAGGGCTTGGCAGTCCAGGTCAGGTACAGGGTGTCTGTCAAGCACAGAGCAAGCGAATGCCTCACCGTGGGGACAGTGCATTTGAGGGATGTGATAGGCGGATCGGTGGGGGCTGCCTCACCTCCAGACCCAGGCTTCCGTCGCCACCGCATCCTCTCTTTTGCTGGGGGTTGATGGAAGTCAGCAGGTCCCTCTCACATGGCCAAGTGAGCCTTGTACCCCTGTGCTGTGTGTATCCTTGTCCCCAGCTCATCTTGAGGCGGGGAAGTTTGTGTGTTGGAGGCGCAGGGACTTTAGAGCTTTGCACCAGGCTCTGAGCCCCTGGCCAGCCCAGAACTCTCCTCCAACTGCGCCCACAGCCTTGTAGAAACAGACATTTTTGTCCCTTAATTTCTGGGGATCGTTGCTCCTTGGGGTGCTTAGAATCATTAATTAAACACATTCGTCAGTGTGGCTACCTTTCGGGAGCCAGCGTTCTGTCGTTAGTACTGTCCCCTGCCCCTGGCACAAGGCGGAGGGGACCCTGTTTGCAAATCAGCAGCTCAGCCACCCTTTTGCAGTTTGGTGTCAGGCAGCCTCTTAGCCGTCAGGGCGTTGGTTTCCATAGCCGTGAGGTGGAGATGACCCTGTCACTGTGTGTCCAGTGGGACCCTGCAGGACAGTGTTCACAGAGAGTCCGCTCTGTGGCATGCTCATGAAAGGTGCTGTGCTGGGCTGGACTTTATGCTCTCCAGTGCCCTGTAGCTTGCAGAGCCCCTCCTCTTTCATGCTTGGTGTTGGTTTATCTGTCCAGCACACCCAAGATGCAGAGGATGCTGTATTTCACAGACAAATAAGCTGACAAGTGAGGGAGTCAGGCATGCTGGTGCATGCTTGTAATTCTAACACCCTGGGAGGCTGAGACAGGAAGACCAGGATTCAAGTTTGAGCCTAGCCTGAGCAATTTAGCAAGACTCTGTCTCAAAGCAGGTGGGGATGAGGGGCAGGGGATGTGGCTCAGTGCAAAGGCCCTGGTTCAGTTCCTGGTACAGTACATTCTGTTCTCCAGTGCTTCTGTTTGCACACTATTAGGTTCACAAACAAAAGCGCTCAGCAAAATCTTGCTTTTGTTCCCAAACTCCGCACAGGGGGACAAACATGACTGTGGCTGTCTTCCCCACACAAATGCAGCCATCTTCCCCAAAACTGTAAAACAAATTAAGTTCATAAACCAAGGTACAGCTGTACTGGAAGAAAAACAGGGCTGTGGCGAGGTTGGCTGAAGACCTTTGCTCTGCGGCCTTCTGGCTTCCTGGGCCTCTGGTGTTGAGCCCCACAGAGTGAGATGCTCTGGAGAGAAGAGAGAGAGGACGCCGTTTCTGTTTTCGGTTTTTCTTTTACCAGGAGACTCGGAAGTTGCCCCAAGCCTTTGCTGAGACAGCCTCAACTGCAGCCCACAGAATTTCTCAGTGCTTTTAACGCTGCCCTCTGGGAAGATTCTTGCGAGCACCACACTTTTAAATGAGAAGATGTGGTGCAGCGTTTCGATGACTGGCTGAGGCTCGTAAAGAGACCTCTGGAGAACGGAAGAGGGGGACCAGGGGATCTGACGGGGCCTGCTGTCAGCTGGGGGCTGCCACTGCCCTTTCGGGACCCCCGCAGGTGCATTTTGCCAGTGAGCGGAAGTGCTCTCCCGGCCTCAGTGAGCGGGGGAAGTGGGTGCTGCCCGCGGTGTGCGCAGGTGCTGGGGAGGCCAGCACTTCCGGGGAGCAGGCGGGGACTCCCCTGGCCTGCCGCACGCCGCAGTCTCCTGGGGGACCGTGGCGCGTGTGGCGGGGTCCGCCATTCTCGCCTCAGCTCTGTGGGCCGCAGTGCGGAGCCTGTGCTGCCCGCCACGTGCGGGGAGAAGGGAACCAGCGTGAGGTGGGGCCTTCGGGCGTCCGCTGGCAGCAGCGCCCTTTTCGGACAGGGCCACCGGGCAAGGCGAGGCTGTCCCGAGCCGAGGGGACCAGGGGCCGCCACGCCCTCCTCGCGGCCCGTTGCAGCCGAGGGCACCTCACGGAGCCACCCGAGCGCGAGTGAGGGTGGGGAGCTCCGAGGAGCCTCCATTTCTGCCTCCCGGCGAGCAGTGCACGCAGGCCGCGGTGCCGGGCCCCTGTGCGGCAGTGACTGCACCGTGGGCACCCAGGGCGCCGCTCAGGCCAGGGCCGAGGAGCCCCCGCAGACCCCCTGGAGCGCCAGGCCGGGGCCCTGGGAGAGGCAGGAGCACCGCCGGCCGCCAGCTCCGGCCTGGCTGCCCGGCAGACAGCTGGACGGGATTTCAGAATCAGACTTACGAGGTATACCCGGGTTGGCCGGGACAGTGACTTAGTGATGGTCTTTTTATTGTGTGGGTACGTGTTTGTAGTACATGCATGGAGAGTCATCTTGTCTGTTTCTGGCGCCTCTCATTGGCACACAGCCAATGTGCAGCTCTTATCTTTCAAATGAACAGAAGATCTCATGACCAAATCCACTCAGGGTGAGCACTGATACTCATAATCCTTTCATTTTTGCATGTTTCTAGAGTCCTGTTGCGGCTGGGATTTAGGTGCTTTTAACCTGAAAATGGTGCATATCCTGTCAGCACTGCAGAAGAACTCGAGGACCTCTTGGCCTGGGCTCAATCTGGAGTATTTGGGAACTTGGAGAATGGAGGTAAGGGGCATTCTCCTCCTGAGCCTGTGGCAGCAAAAGCAGCTTCTGGAATTGATGGTCTCTGCAGCACAACTTGCAGGGTAGGCCCAGAATTCTTGGCGCATCTTCTGGTGCTCCAAGGTGCCGGGGAAGCTGGCTGCTCATAACTCGCCCTGACATCGTTCTCAGCATCTGATCCACTTGGACACAGTGCCTACCGCCCTCTCTCTGCCTGTTCCTAGCCGGGAGGAGCCTACTGGCCTTTGGGGACATTCCCTACCCTGTGTAGCTGTCCTGCTCTGCCCCGTCCACGCTACCTCGGGAGAAGAGAAGGCAGGTGGGCACTGCAGGGGCAGGCAGGGTCACCTCGTGGAGCATCTAGAATGTGCACTTGCTCCCCCAGCACACCCCTCCCCCGACTCTGCTCCTGGCTGAGCCCTGCCCCCATCAATTGCTCCAGCTGTACGAAGTCTGTGAAGTCTGCGGCTGTCTGCAGTGAAGGAAAGGGGTGAAGCCCTGGGGATTCTGGGGGACCAAGGCTTTCCCGTTTTTCTGCTTGTCTTACCTTGGACAGATGGCTCAACTTCACCAAGCCTCGTTTCTGCGTATCTAGACTAGGACGCATCAGTGCCTGTCTCACGAGATTGCTGCAGGCACTGAATGAGAAAGCTTGGACATCGAGCTTAGCTGGCTTCCTGGCACGGGGAGGAAATGCTCCAAACCGGGAAGGGGTGTTTTGTGTATTAATTTCCAGTTGATTAATTATGCCCATTGGAGTTCCTTGTATGTGCAGCTCATCTCCAAGTGTTTGGTCCGCTGTTCTGTCTGCTGAGAACCATCACGTCAGCCTGGGCGACAGCTTGTGAGTCCCCTTCCCAGCTACTCTGGTCCTCGTCCCAAGCAGTGGCCCCCGCACAGCACAGCAGGCAGCAGAAGGCCTGGCTACTGCACTGGGTTGAAGTTTCTTTTGCATCGGCCCCGCCCGTCCCCTGTCCTTGGGGCACTGGGGAGCATGTTTAGAGCAAGGACGCTCTTACATGTCCTAGCACAGGCACAGGCCCTGGTCCGGATGGGCCTTGCAGTGGGGATGCTGGACGAACATTAGGAGAGAGGGAAGCGGGAGGGAGGGAGAGAGAACCCAGAGGAGGGTGTTAAAGGTTCAGAGGAACGAACGCAGTCAGTTTCGAGTTTTTTCTGTTTTTAAATAAGATGTTGGAAAGAATAAATAACTGTGAAATCGAAGAAAATTGAAACTAATGTGATTTCTACCACAAATTTGAAGACTAGGCCAAGATGGACAGGGGTGAGAGTGCGCTGACGGAGTGAAGTGTCGGGAAGGACAGAGCAGAGGACAGTGCAGAGCTGGGCGCGCACACCCCGATGGTCGCCTTTGCACTGCCAGTCCCATCCGAGCTAGGGTTCCCGTGAGACGGGGTGGCGTGTGTGGTTCCTGTCCCGCCATCCAGGGGCCAGGGCCAGGGCCTCACACGGGGTGCTGCACATGCCCCAGCTGCAGTCCTCCCTGTGCCTTTGGGATTGGTTCTAGGAGCCCAAGGACACCAAAACCTGTCGTGGCACAGGCCCCTGGCGTAAAGCGGCACAGTATTTGCATATAATCTGCGCACATCCTCCTGAGTACTTTAAATACCTCCAGGTCACTTCTGTGCATGGTGCAGGGTAAAAGCTGTATGAATAGTTGTTCCATTGTATTACTTTGAGAATAACGAGGAGACAAAAGGCCTCAGTGTTCAGTGTGGGTGCAGTGTTTCCCTGAACATCCCCAGTCGATCGATTGTAGTTGGCTGAATCCACCAATGCAGAACCCGTGGATAGAGAGGGCAAATTACCCACGAGGACCAGGATGGCCCAGGGGGCTGTGTGGAGAGAGAGCCTCTCTGGCCCTGCTACACTCGCAGTTCCCCCTGCCTTTCATTTCGCTACCTGATTTCCTGCTTGGGGTCCTGGGGTGGGGGGTGTCCAGACCTCTCAGTGTGCAGCACACAGGTGTGGGAGCACTGAGTGCCCTGCGTGGGCCAGCAGGGACCCAGCTGGTCCCAGAGCTGTGTTTCAGGGTCACACTCCTGGCCTGGGCATCCAGCTGTGGGGCAGCAGCGCTGTAAATATGCGTCGGCCTTTTCTGCCACCGCCGTCCCGGCCACAGCTGGAGGCTGGGAGAGCTGCTCAGGCTGGAAGAAAGGGCAGGGTGGTCCAGGCATGTGCAGTGCGGCTGGAAGCTGAAGGGTGGTCCCTTGGAGCCATGGCTGCGGCAGTGGGAAGCAGGGGCTGTGGCCTGTGACCAGTGGGGAGGCTTGGCAAGTCCGCCGCCAGGGTGAAAGCAGAGGAACCCCCAGGACTCAGCTCCCAGGAGCAGGGCGACAGTGCAGAGGTGGCCGCAGTCCCAAGCGTGTCCTGGGCAGGGCTGGGCTGTGACGCCCTGAGAAAAGCTGGGTCAGCCCATGTGTGCCGAAGACGTTTCTGAGAGATGTGCCCAGCTCTGCCTCCTGCACCGTGTGGCCATGGCGAGTGCAGCCCTGTGCTTTGCCCAGCTGCAGGTGGACGGACACCTGCTCGGCGCGGCTGAGGCTCATGGAAGTGGATGGTGAGTGTGTGCCCTCATGTTCTCCTCCAGCCCTGGACCTGTCTAGCCATGGCATCTAGGTGTCATCCTCTGACTCCGCCCCTCCTTGACCACACTGCGCAGGGCTTCTCCCTCTGGCTGTGCTGGGGTTTGAGTGAGCTCCTCCAAACTCTGGCGCTGGAGCCTAGTCTCAGGTGTTCTGCAGCAAGAGGAAACAGATAAAGACAGTTGGCATCGTCATTTATTTGCTTTTTTGGAGATAGGGTGTCACTGCATAGCCCAGGCTGGCCTCCGACTCTTGGCATCGTCCAGCCTCAGTCTCTTGAATGCTGGGCTACAAGCGTATGCTACCACACTGGTGTAGCGTCTTCTCTCTGGACCCTCCCCTTGCTTTGGGCCTGCGCTGCCTGGGTCGTTTCTCTTGGCCTCTGAGTGCTGTTCCCAGGCTGGGTCCCGCTGGCCTGGGTGAGAGGGCGTCAGCTGGCCCCCACGTCCCGTCTGTGGATGCGAGCCGCCCTGGTCTTCAGCTGCAGGGGCCACTGCTCAGGGTTGCGCCCTGTGCTCAGTGTGTGGCGGCAGAAGTCCCAGCCCCCTCGGAATTCCGCACTTGAGACAGAAACGTCTTCTGACAGGGCTCTGCTGTTGGCCCCTTTCTCTATTACTGTTTCTTGTGGTTTCATGTTGAGGTTTTTGGCGCATTGCATTTGACCTGGAGTTTCTTTTTAGCAGTAAAGACAGAGTTCAGTTAATGTCATGCCGATCCAGAGGAGGGATTCATAAGTCTAGGGGAAAACATGCCTAACTTTATTTCTGCTGATGACATCTGTCCCCAGGCATACACGGTCACACTGCGGGCATGGCACTGGCTCAGTGGTGCCCAGCACGGGCTCTACAGTGGCAGGAGCAGTGGCCAGGCCACCCGAGCACAGGAGGGTTTCTGGGTCTCAGGTCGTGGGATTCAGCTGCGGTGTTGTCAGGCTCGTTCTGCCCGCCAGCTCTGTCTCAGGAGGAGCAAGCACTCTGGCGAAGGCCAGGTCTTCTCCCCGGGCCCACGCGTGTGGAGAGATCTGTGGTCCTTTCTCTGCAGCCATCTCTGGCCTCGGGATGGTGCAGGGGACATGCGTAGGGACCACTTTCTTGGGCTGACTGAATCTCAGGACTCTGCGGTCTCTGATGCAGACGCCCCTCCTTCAAGGAGGCCTGTCTGCCTGGAGAGACACAGTGAGCCCAACCATCTGAAGCATTCCTCATCCTTCTGCCCCGTTTCCTCTCTGGAGCGTTTATTCCTCATTGAGCCTGCATCTCCCGAGGCGCTAAGTTCCTATGGAGTGAAGGGGGCAGATCCTCCATTGCACCGGGGAAGCAGCTGGCCGCTCCGAGGGGCCTGACAGGCCTAGACCCTTCCCTGCTGCTCCCGAATCTCGTCCTTGCCCCTGGTTGGCCCGGCCTCATTTCAGGCTTGTCCCCGCCACTCTTCCCCAGCTGAGCCTCCCCGCTCCCTGTCTCTCCTTCTCTGCCTTTCTCATCTCTATTTTTCTGCCCCCTCCAGCTCTGTCTCTGACCTCGGGGATGTTTCTCTCTGCCGTCCTTTCGTGGGAAGGAGTCTGGGCTCATGGGGCTGTGCTTGAGTTCCTGTCGGGTGGGGTCTTGGTCTCCCCAAATCCACCTCCCGGCACCTTGTGTGGTGACTGGACTGGCAGGATGTACCAGTTCCCTCCCTGCCCTTGCCCCTCTCCTGCTAGGAGAAGCCAACAGAATGAATAAACGATCTCTGGCGGTAAAAGCTTTAATGTAGATGGCCACATTAGTCATTAGAGAAGTGGAACCCGTGCAAGATGAAGATAGACACACACTTCCTTCCGTACCGTATCTAAGGGTCTGTGTCTCTATCCACATCTCCATCTGCACATCTGCTTGGCGAGAAGTTTACTGGAAGCATCGGCTCAGTTATGCAGGAGGCTGAAGTCCAGCATATGTCCTTGCTGTGTTTTCTTCCATCATTACGGCATGCTCTGAGCTCACCGTTTACATTTCCTGGGAGTCAGCCATTTCTCCCCAGAGCCCTGCTCTGTTTTGTTGGAGAATAGCAGTAGAAACCACTGGCTTGCTACTGCTCAGGCGTGATTGCGTGTAGACACTCTCAGCTGGCAGAGCCGTGACTTGTGTGGGGGTGTGTGTGTGTGTACACTAGCACCCGCCTCTCTGCGTGTGAAGCTGGGTTCACACTGAGGCCCCGACCTAATTTATCACCATGTCCCACACACTTTCTAAATGACTTCCTGTGTTTGCCTGCCATGTCAGCGGAAGACCCTGAATGGAGAGGTCAGAAAGTCCATGCGGGCAGAGGGCTACCGGCTGAGGACACTGGACTCTTCTCCATGGCTCACCGCCTCGTGGAGCGGAAGTCCCGTTTAACCAGGAGGAAACACGTGGGCCCTGGCCTCCTCTGGCCCCGGCCTCATGCGCCAGACACCGCCACCTTCCTGAGCCCAGGACCGGGTTCTGTGCCCGGCGGGGCCCACCCCAGGTCTCTTGGCCAGGGCTGTCAGACTCACTGTCTAAGGCCCAGACCTGCGAGAGAACGGGGCGCTGTGGGCCCCGGGGCAGGGTCTGGGAGCCCGGCTTGCTGTGCTGGCCTGGCTGTGGCTGCTGCTCTCGTCTGCCTGGGCCCATGTCTGACAGTCGCCTCTGTGTGTGCCCAGCCCTGAGGGGACCGTGGCTGGCCTGCGGCCCAGGTGGCCACACCTAGTTGTTGACAGGAAAACTAAAGGCTCAGAGCAGCGGGCCTTGCTCCTTCCTGTTCGCCACTTGGCCCGAGTGTCACTGCCCCAGCCCTTACCTGGACAGCGCTGTCGCGGGAGAAGCAGGTACCGGTCCTCAGTGGGGCTTTGCTGACCCACACTCCCCACCAGCTCCAGCGTGCTACTGTCAGAGGTGACGCCGCAGCATGGCCCGGCCCCCAGCTCTGATAATCCTGCCCCACCCCATCTCAAGGGTGGTTACTTGCTTTCTATAGCTGCTGCTTCTCCCATGCTTCCCTGTCCCCCCTTTGCCTTTTCCATTTCCGGTTTACACTTCACTCTTTGTCTGAAATTCCGGACGTTAAAGCTGCCTGGAGTCTTGATGAGCCCCGGTGAACGTGCGGTTCCTACCATGGCTCCTGGGCTCACCTGAGCATCAAGCAGGTCTTCAGCTTGTTGCCTGAAGGCCCAGAGACCTGCTACCTGTGCTGCCACCTGCGGCATCTCCCTTCCCCATGGCCCTGTGCCGGGAGCCCTGGTTACCGACTTCAGCCCTTGGTGCGGTGGCCCACAGCTCACAGGGTCGCCAGCAGCCCCCGTCCCCACAACCTACTGGGCATGCAGTTGATGCTTTGGGTTTTCCACGGTGGACAGCGATCCCCAGGGTGCACAGGGCTCCATGGCCTCTTGGGTCTGGAGGGGTGGAAACAGCCCTGTCAGAGGGCACAGAGGCTGAGCTCACAGGGGAAGGAAGGCTGCTGGGGAGACTCGGGCTGCAGCTTCTTGGGGGTTTCCCCCACGCTGGGCTGGGCCCCAGCAGTCACTGACACACTCCCAGGCTTGAGACTCTGCTACCTGCTCACCTCTGCCCCTCACACACAGAGCACGGAACATCTGCCTACAGAGCAAAAGTAATTCTCCTTCCATGGCTTTCTCCTCTTCACGCCTGAGTCTGTTTGGGCTGCTGTAACAGAATTCTGTAAGTGCTGTGGCTTATTAACGACAGAAGTTTGTTTCTTACAGTTCTGGAGCCTGGAAGTCCAAGACAGCGTGTGGGCAGATGGTGTCTGCGAGCCTGCTTTCTCCCTGTGTGCTCCCACAGTGGGAGAGACAAGGGATGCCTGGGCCTCTTTAATAGAGCATTAATCTCCCTCCCCAGCGCTCGGCTCATAACCCTCCCACTGCTCAGTTCCCACCTCCACTTGCCACCTTGGGGGTGGTGTCCAGCATTCGAATTCTTCGGGACACAAGCATTCAGGTCATCGCAGCCCCTTACCACACCACACAGTGTCACTCAGCTGAGCTCACCCTCCTGACCACGCGTTTCAGCAATCCGTGTCACTCTGGAGCTGAGGTGTTACGTTCCTTGGGGTCAAAAGTGACCTACCATGACTCATGAGCTTTCCAGGAGTTCTTGTGATCATGACCATGAGGGTGATCAGATGTTTAGCAGCTGGCTTTTGTGCATGGGTTACATTTTTCTTATGTGTTCCTCATTCTCATTCAGTGGGGTGTGTGGATGTGCTCCTTTTCTGGGGCTGCCAACCAGGTTCCCCCAAACCATACAGATGTATTCTGCATTCTCTCTCAGGTGGAGTGGAGGCCAGAAGTCTGATGGTGAAGTGTCCTTAAGACCGTTCCCGCCAGAGATGCTTGGGAAGGATCTGCTCTTCCGCTCTCATCCTTCTGGTGGCCTGGGGCAGCCCTTGGTGCCCCCGAGTTTATGGCTGCCACACTCCGCTCTCTGCCCATCGTCATATGGCCTTCTCTCCTGTGTGTCCCTGTGCAGAATCCCTCTTCGTGTAGGAATCAGGACTCCTTTATCCAACATGAATGCAGCTAACCCTGACTGCAGTCACAAGATCCTGTTTCTGAGGTTACATTTGCAGGTGCCGGGATGGTTGGCCTGCAGCAGGGAGAAGAACATGCCAAAACTTCTATTTCTGTTTATTTCTTTTCTGCAAAATGTCTTTCTTTTTTTCATGTTTTAAGATAATGCAAGCATCCATATATATAAATGATAAGCAGATTAGCACATCTGAGGGCTCTGTGCTGAGGACCTACTTAGAGGAGGAAACAGCCGGGCCTGGCTTCTGAGCAGCTCCGTGTTCTTGTGCTCTGGCTGCCCTGACCCAGTATCATGGGCTGGGTGTCTGCAGCAGCCAGTGATTTTCTCAGCTCTGCCTGCTGGGAAGTCCAGGGCGTGGCTGGCTGGCTTTCTGGTGGGGGTTCTCTTCTTGCCTTGTCGCCGTCTGCCTCTTGCTGTGTCTCTACCCTGACAGATTGAGACCCCAGGTCCCCACTTAACCACGTGACCCTCGGGAGGGCCCGTGTCCAGGAGTTGCATGGGAGTTGGGACCTGAGCGTACGGATGTGGGAGAAGACACAGTTCAGTCCACTCAGGCTCCGTCTGCTGTTAGCAGCTAGGTTCCCTTGGTGCTTGGGAATCAGTGAAAACTTAAAACCTACTGCGGTGGCTAGAATATCACTTGACTTCCAAGTATACCTTTTTCCTATTCTCACTTTTTAAAAGCCTCCTCCCCTTTTTCTTGTTAAAATTTGTAGATGGATGACTTGGCAAGTTAATTGCCCTCTCTGCCCCTGTTTTCTAAGCGGAGACAAAGCCTATCTACAAAATCATTTGGGAGAGTAAATGAGATTACTAAGCATGTGTTCAGTAGCTGTGGGCTGTTTTCCCTCTGCAGGGCCGGCCTTGCTCTTGCCCATGTAGCTTGAGAGGGTTCTGGTGGGCATTTAGTGTGAGGGTCACTTTAGACAGCATTATCCCCGAGGCCTTCCTGAACCCTGTCCTGTGGGTACCAAACTGTCATTGTGTCTTTTGTACACAGGTCAGTATTATTTGCCTGCCTGCCTCCCTCCTTTTTTTTTTTTTTTTTTTTCTTTCTTTTCTTTCTCTGTGCTAGAGATTGAAGGGCCTCCCCCAGCTTCTTTCTTTTTTACTTCATGCCAGGTCTTGTTAAGTTGCTCAGGCTGGGCTTGAACTTTCTTTTCTTTTTTTTATTTAAAGGAGGAGAGGTTTATTTTGATTTACAGTTTGTAGAGGTTTCAGTCCAGGCTGGCTCCCAGGCAGGGCAGCATGGCAGAGAATTTCTCATGGTACAGGAAGCAGAGAGAGAGATCAAGGGAGGAAAAGATAAACCCTTCTAGGTCACCAACCTGGTTTAGAAAGTAAACAATTAAAAATGCAAATTCCACTCCTAGGTATAGACTCAAGAAATACAGAAATAGGTCAGCACAACTTGTGCGCAAAAGTTCCTAACAGCAAAATTAATGACCAAAAAATGGAAACAGTGTCCATCAGTGGATGGATGGACGGATGAGTGTGTTAGTTACTTTTCTCTCCTCGCTGAGACAAAAATACCTGACACCCAGAGTTAGAGGGAAGGGGTTTATTTGGCTCACGGTTCGTAGAGGTTTTGGTCCATCATCAGCTGGCCCTGAGGCTGGGATGGCAAACAGGCATCGCAGAGGAGAAACAGCATGGTGCACACAAGGCAGCAAAGGTATCGAGAGCGTGGGCTTGAACTTTCAGTCCTTCTCTGTCAACCTTCCAGAGTGCTGGGATTCCAGGTGTGCACTGCCCTGCACAGCTGGGCCCTAGATTAGTTTTTCAGGCAGGTGCGTGCGACTGGGCCAGCTTGTGTGCAGTAGATGATCAGGGCTAGACATTGCTTACTGGGTGAGCAAAGAGGGAGGGCTCGGCCGGGTGCCACGACTTCTCCACCTCCTCCACCTTTCTTCCCCCCCAGAGCTCCCTCCCTCCCTCCCTCCCTGCCTCACCTGCTGACTGTCCAGGGGCTGCAGCTGAAGCATAGTGAAGGTCGCCGGGTGCAGGGGCCTCCAGTCCCACCAGCCCATGGGGAGTCCAGAAAATCTATTTTCATCAGGCAGCTGCAGAGACAAAGTAAAGTAACCAGAGCCGAAGGCCTCAGCTGGGAGACCTTGCTGTCCAGAGTAATGCTGGGGAAGGCTTCCAAAAGCCTGGCTCTCCTCCTGCCTGTGCCACCTTGGCTGCGTCACCCCCCTCTGAGCTTCCACTCCGTTATTGTAAAGACAGCCGTGCCTTTTTCCAGGTTGAGAAAAGGACCTCAGCACTGAGGTTGGTAATCATCATTAACAAGTTGGACTGGGAGCCTCACTTTTGTGTCTGTGTGGTTTTCACTTTCAAGGGGCTGTAAGCCAGAGGTCCCACAAGTACGAGCCCTGGAGTCGTTTCAAAACAGCAGGCTCAGAAATAGCGTCCTGCCAGCACGATGGAGTCCTGTCTTCTCCCTGGTGCCGGCCTCTTTAACCCCAGAAAATCCCTCTGTGCCCAGCCACAGCCAGCATTCCGGCTCACCTGGCTCCCGCTGGGCCCATTGTGCCTGCCCAGATGCCAACAGCGCCACACCTGGCTTCCTGGCGCCGGCAGGTGTGGTGTCCTGTGTGCCGCGGGCAGGGCTGTGTGCTGCTGTGAGCGCCTGGACCGCTGTGTGTGTACAGTGAGTGTGCCCTGCCCTGCACTGCCACTGCCAGGAGCGTGCTTGGGAGCACGGGTGTGCACCCCCGTCCTCAAGCACCAGAGCCTCGCGGATCCGCAGCACAGTTTGCAGCGTCGCAGAAGCGGGAGCTGCTGCATGCCTCTCCCTGCACCAGCCAGCGGGCACCTGCGGCGGGTTTGTCTCCCCAGGTTGATTAAAGCAGCCCCTGCCAGGTCTCTCTGCTAGGAGGTTCTTACTTCTCACATTGTAAATATCCTGTCGGGAGACACTTTGGCATTGCAAAACATCACCTTTCTCATTGCACTTGCACCGAGCTCATTTTAATATCCATTCTTGTCTGAAACAGTTATTACTCTGATGTTTGCCAAATTGAGTTTCTTTTTCCATCACTACCTCCGTATTTGTCAGTGAGAAGTCTACTGAAAGGAAGAATTTTCCTTTCTTTCCCATTAGAAAACATTAATTATTTTCATCGGCATGGACTCCTGGATTCTTATTGTTTTGGTTACAATCCGTGACTACAGTTATTTTGTTGCTTAGATTTTCAAAAATGCAGCCACTAGTATGCCCTTCCAATTTGGTTCTGCGGCCCGGATTTTGAGATTTCTCTGTTCCTTTTTGAATTCTGCCTTGTGTTTTGTCTAAGTCTCACCGTGTAGCAAGTCTGTCCCAGACCTGGAGTCAGCCATGGCATCTGTGGTATACTTGTATTATCTGGATTTAATAAGGAGAAGACACCAGATAATCCTAAATTGAGGGATATTCTACCAAATACCTGGTCAGAGGATAAATAAAAACTGAAGAAGTGTTACAGAGTTACGAAGACTAGGGGCCATAACAACTAATGCAGCATGTGACTCTGACTTGCATCCTGTATTGGAAGAAGACATTATTGGTGAAATTTGAATGAATCTCATAACTAAGAAGTAGTATTCTACTAAAGTGAACTTCCTGATACCACCAGATAATTGTTCTGTGGTAATATAAAAGACCAACATTTGAGAATTCACAAAGCTATACAGGAATTCTGTGGGGTTTTTTGAACTCTTAATTTGTAAGTGCAAGGTTGTCTCAAAATGAAAACTAAACGAAAAAATTAAACAATTCAGTGACATATATTTATATTTGCTAAGTGCAAATGTTATCTTTCATCTGTTAGGACCTGTCAGAGTACTGTTTGTATAGAACTGGCCCATTTCTGTAAAAACTAAGACTGAAGAATATAGACAGATGCGTATTTATCTACACGTGGGAGACGTTCTGAGAAGGGTTTGTGTTTCCTGTTAACAGACATTTCTGGGAAATGTGATTGGAAGGTGTGAGGTAGTGAGAGCTGTTACTCTTTGCTATTTGTGCAGCAGAGCGTGTTTTCACTGTGGTGGAACTCACGAGGGGCCGGGCATGTGGGTGTATGTCTGTCTGTCTGTCTGCCGTGTGCACTGAGCTCCAAGGCCCCTCACCCGGTTCCTCCTCGCTCGCCTCTCTCTGCACAGACAGGGCGATGTCCACGTCCTGCTCGGGGACTGATTTTCTGGTCTGTTATTCATTTGCCCACATCCAGTTCTACATGAAGTCTGTCACTTGCAGATGCAGAGTGGGCTGCAGGCCTGGGCAGCAGTGCTCACCTTTTACCTGAGGAAGCTGGCAGCTGTCCGCCTTTGGAAACTGAGGAAGAGCTTTCTTCCTAACCTTGTGTCATTTCCATCTCCCCAGGGAAGCATAAATTAGGAAGGTGCAAAGTGACAGCCGTCAGATTCATGCGTGGAGCTTGGTGCCTCCACGCAGTTAATGAGGGAGCTGTCACAGTTCCCCCAGGAGTCTGTAGCGGCCGTGGGCTTGTAGTTCACGTGAAGCTTCTTCCAGGCATCCTCGTTTCATGGATAGGTTTAAATTTGGGGCAGGCGCTCCTTGATGGGAGAAGGGAAGAGAAATGTCCTGAGTGAAGGCTAACTGCGTGTCTGAGCTATTTCGGTGTTGGTCACTGTCACCCCTGCTATCGGATGATCCACTTGTAGTGTATCAATGCGGAGACCGAAGCAGAGAGCAGGTTCTGAGGCCTCCTCCTGCCAGGCCTTCCTTACCCCTTTCAGGTCTCTCTCTCTCTCTCCCCGTCACGGTTCCTGCCACTTCTTTCCCCCCAAATCTTGGGGCTCCTAGATGGTAGCTTCATTCTATTCTGGTTCTTTCCGTGGTGTCTGCAGGGGTGGAACCCTGAGCAGTGATGCTACTGGCAGCAATACCAGTGAATGTGGAGTCTGTGGGTGTCGTCAAGCCTGGCTGTGCCAGTGCGGTGGTCAGTACTGCATTTTTGTGCCTCTCTGTCAGTCCTGAGGTTGGAGGGCTCCTGTGGACAGGGGCTGGCCAGGAACCAGAAGCATAGCAGGGCTCCAACATGCTCTTTTCATTTCAGTGTTCTTTTAGAGGCTTCAGCTCTGGCAGTAGGTTTTTGCAAGCTTGTGACCACTGACCAACTGTTTCTCCTGCAGAATTATGGCCATATATTCCTAGAAGTTATAAACGTGCGCTTGAACCAACATTAACACTCATCACCCTTGTATCATCTTGAAGCTAATTATGAAGTATCCTGATTTCACAGCCCATAGCATATAACGTATTAGGCATCTGTTTTAATTTTTCAGCAGAAACATTTCTGGGGCGCCAAAGGTAAGGAAAAAAGTGTAGGGGTAGGAATAATTTCACAATAAAAACAGTCATCTTCCAATAACTATGGTAAAAGAAATGATAATGTCTAATGGATGAGACATTGTTTGGACTACAGTCAAAAAAGCATCACATAACAGAGTGTCTTTGTTTTTGGAAATGATGTTTGAGTAACTAATGCTGTGAATATTTTTGTTAATTTATATCATATTAAGATTCTCTTGGGAAGAGATGCAGATAGAGACTAGGCTGGAGTTCATCAGTGGGTTGGGAAGGAAGAGTCACTGAGATCAAAGGAGAGGAGTGTGTTTCCAGAAGAAGCACATACAACTATGTACAGCACACAGTACTCGATGGTGTGATAAATGACTGTTACTGTTTTAGGTACTCATCATAACATGCTGTGCTTTTCATCCTTTAGAGCATAATCCTACTTATATAAGAGTTTACTGTAAAACCGTGTGCTGCTATGCCAGGGGTAGCTTCATGTATCTCATGTTTAACTGCGTATTCAGATAATATCAAGGGGCCATCACAGATGATTGACGTATACCTTCTCAGTTTGCGCTTAGAAGTTGGCACTCTGTGTGGTACTTTGCGATACACACGGATGAAAGTGTGTAATAACATATTTCTCAGATTATATTTCCATCACCTGTCACATGACTGTATTGAGATTTAAATTTAAAAAAATTTGGCCTATGTAGAGTCTACTAGCTAATTAGAATTTTTTTTCCAGACCACTATTTGTTCAATATTAGTTTTGAAAATCTTTCTAAAACAAATCACATCCTCTGATGTCTTGTTAATGCCTGAGATATTTTTTTTAATTATATGGAAAAATGTTTAAGTACTTCTCAGTTTTGCTTTGGTTGAGTTCT